TTTAAGATTTATTTATTTATTTTAGAGAGAGAGAGCATGGGGGGGGCTGTGGAGGGGCAGAGGGAGAGAGAGAGAGAAACCCAGCAGTCTCTGTGCAGAGCGCAACACAGGCCTCCATCTCAGGACCCTGGGTTACAACCTGAGCCGAAACCAAGAATCGGACACTTAACCAACTGCACCACCAAGGCACTCCTAAACTAAGTGGGCATATTTCTAGTATTTCTTTTGCCTCAGTTTCTCCATTTGCAGTTGAGAGAGAGACATACCACAGACTGCTTGTCTTAACTAGCCCTGGCTAAGCTAGAAACTCATGATGAAAGTTTTCAGCCTAGGTCTATTAAGTAGACATCATTTGCCCTAGTAAAAAGAGATTATACGCTGAAAATAGAAAAATAATATGCCAGTTCAGGGATGCCTGGGTGGCTCAGTTGGTTAAGCGTCTGCCTTCCGCTCAGGTCATGATCCCAGGGTCCTGGGATCAAGCCCCACATTGGGCTCCTTGCTCAGTGGGGAACCTGCTTCTCCCTCTGCCTCTGCTCTCCCCTTGCTTGTGCTTGCTCTCTCTCGCTCTCTGACAAATTAATAATAAATCTTAAAAGAAAAAAAAATGAAAGCAAGATAATATGCCAGTTCAGTCCCTCAACTCTGCAGACATTATAAGTCATCTGTAGCATATAATTTTTAATTCTTTTTTTTTAAGATGATTTATTTATTTGAGAGAGAGATATATAGCGAGAGAGAGCACGAGCAGGGGGAGAGAGAGAGAAGCAGGCTCCCCGCTGAGCTGGGAACCAGACATGGGGCTCGATCCTAGGACCCCAGGATCCTGACCTGAGCCAAAGGCAGATGCTTAACCAGCTGAGCCACCCAGGTGCCCCTATATTTATTAATCCTAACTTGACTTACACAGCTGAGCACACAACTGGCCTCCTTCCCACTTTGTCTTCTTCATGTCAGCTTAGGTAATATGGACCTCATCTATTAGGATCCAGAAAAATGGAATTTTGTCACCTCTGTATAAATGGTGACCAAATCCTAGAGGAGGGGTTGCAGCACACTAGATTCCTGGGATAGAAGAAAATAGAACTAAAAGACCAAACAGAGCCCTTAGGAACTACCATCTTAAGTAGGTAGTTTACTCTGAAGCCCTAAAAGGGGATGTTACAAGAGCAATAAAAGAAGACTGGGCTCCTGCTTCTATGCTCTAGGACTGGGAAGCACCGAGGAGTAGGGCTCGGGGCTACTCTCATCCATGCATTGCTTGTACTAGCTTTTGTTTTGTTTTCTATTCAGTTTTTGTTTTTTTCTTTTACTATTTAATGTTCACCCCCAAGGTCAGGTTCCCCATTTTGTGGTAGTTATTTGTAGAAGAGCCAAACTGGTTTCACACCAGCTTCTCTGAGGAGAGGATTGGAGAGTGAGGGGTTAAAGGAGAAGGTTATGAACTCCTTTCTTGTGAACCCAGGTGTTCTGGCACTCCAGCACCCATGTCCTGGGGGCAGCAGCTGAACAACTCCTTGGTGCCGTCCTCTGCCGAGGTCCAAGTACAGAATGTGGCTTCTACCATGATTTCTTCCTGGGAAAGGAGCGGTGAGTAGTGCAAGGAAAGAGAATGATTCTGGGGTGCTTTCCTTTTTAGATATTTCACCATATTTTATTTCATTTTCAACTTTTTGGAGTATAATTGACAAAGTAACATATTTAAAATGTACAGTGCTTGCTTCGGCAGCACATATACTGAAGTGTACAATGTGAGGGGGCCCTGGCTGGCTCAGTCAGAAGAGCATGCCACTCTTCATCTTAGGGTCGTGAGTTCAAGCCCCATGCTGGGTGTAGAAATGACGTAAATAAATAAACTTTTAAAAATAAAAAAGCATACAACTTGGTAATTTGGTGTTTGTATACATTGTGAAAGGATCTGCACAATTGAGTTCATTAACACATTCATCACCTCACTTCCTCGTTTTGTGTGTATGTGAACACTTAAGGTTTGCTCTTACAAATTTCAATATATATACAATATGGAATTATCAGCTGTAGTCACCATGCTATACATAAGCTCGTCAAACCTAATTCATTTTATAACTGAGTGTGTACCCTTTCACTAGGGTGGTTTCTGCCCCCTTTTTCTGGGGCATCAGGCATGTTCAATTTGGAGGAGAAAGTTTGGGGAAGGGCCTCTCCAGGCCTCAATTGTGATATCGGTGCCATTTTCTCCACTAGTCCATGTCTTTCCTTTTCTGATTCAGCTTGAAACTTCTCTAGTCTTTGTGAATTAACTTTTTACTTCATCTTTCATTACTAGTGCTCTAATTTTTTCCATCCATGTTGCCTGAATCCAACTTTTAATTTCATACATAGAGCTTTTGCTCCTGCTGGAAAATTTATACCTGATTTCCTAATTATGTTTTCTCTCAGTTTGTCTGTCTTTGCCAGTAATTCTAGATGTCTCTGGAGAGCAGGATTTCACCCCCTAGCCAACAGGTTTGGCACCCAGGTCATGCTTCTCAGCAGATGCAAGCCAGCCAACTCTCATCTTTCCAGGACAGTCCGGGGCTCAGAGCTGCCTGCTTTGGAGCGGATTTGCCAGGAACTTGCAGCTGCTGCTCAACCGTTCCGGAGGTTAGAGGTGTCTCAGGATCAGCTTCGCCAGCTATTCAAGGTGGGGTAGAGGTGCACACATTTAGGAGGAAGACCCAGAAGCATGAGGGAAGGGGTAGCTCTCTCCCAGGACATCTGTATAGGAATAAAGACTTATCCTCACTCTCCTTCCAGGATAACCCCTTTAAGCTTCGCCTGATTGAGGAGAAAGTGACAGGTCCAACAGCAACAGTATATGGGTGAGAGCTGTCGAAATGGAGGGAAAGAGGGAGAGGTGGGATGCACAAAGAAGGCCAGAAATGGGATGAGGGAAAGAAGGTAGAAGGTAATCTGTTGTTCCGGAAAAAGAATAGGACCAGGAAATAGTTTTATCTCCCATTGCTTTTGCTCTCTCTGTAGAACAGTTCTTCACTGTTTTTCTGTCTGCTGAAGGCCATGAGAGGGAGAACACTAGAAGCTCAAGGATTTGGAAACCACTAAGTGGCCTCTTCTTTCTCCCAGGTGTGGCATGCTGGTTGATCTTTGCCGGGGCCCCCATCTTCGGCATACTGGACAGATTGGAGGACTGAAGCTGCTAACGGTCAGTTGTAAGGGCAAAGTTAGGTTGAGACTTCTGTGTTCACTGTGATGAGCGGGGGAATGGGAAGATGATCTCTCTCAGCCCTTTCTCTCCTCTGATAGCTGAGCAGGGAATCCAGGAGAAAGATTTTTAGTTCCTCCCTTCTACAAACTCCTAGTCTGATGGCAGATGCTGGGCACCCTGCCAGGGTCCAGAAGCCAATTCAGATTCTGTAGTTGAACTTCAGTGGTAGGGAGATGGAGAGGGAGCGTGTGAACAGGTTGGACAGGGTCACATGGGGGAGGCTCCTGTGGAGAGAGGGTGTATAGAACACCATTTGAAGGTACAGGGAAAATATGATAAGTCAAAGGCGTGCCTTTTATGAAAATACTGTTCCTGGGCCAGGTGAGTTATTATTAGGTGGAATGGGAGCAGGGAGCAAGGGGAGAGGCAGGTATACACAGCCAAAAGCGCTGAACTGAAAACCCAGCCATTTGTGTTTAGTCCTAGCTCTGCCATCAGTGAAGTATGTGGCCTTGGGTAAATCTTCTTTACCCACTTTCCCCATCTATAAAAGAAGGTTGTTGTTAATTCCTGTCCTGCCAGTAAATCCCCATCACAGAGACAAAGTCAGCTAACACAGGAGAAAGTGAGGAAAAGCTAAAAGTGCTATAAAACATAGGCTATTTCTTGTTAAATCGTTCAAGAGAAGAGCAAGCAGAGGCATTTGAATTTCATGTGGCCAGGAGTAGGACGTAGTGTGGGAGACTGATAAGTGGATGGGTAGACTGACATTTGACCAGAGCTTAAGGTTACTCCGGTGAGCCATCATTGATTAGAAGTGGGGGCGGGGAGGTCCTAAGTACACGGGTGCCTGTGGGAGAATGGGTAGAAGAAGAGGTGGCAGGATAAAGTTAGGCTTGAGTAGGACACAAGTGGGGATTAGGAGTCTGGGCGGCTCTGAGTCTATAAATGTGGCAGGGGGTCTGAGGGGATAGTGGAATCACGCTGGTGGAGGCAGTGGGAGACAGGATGAGCGTGAGATGGGACACTGTGGGGCTTAAGCTCAGTATCAGATAAGCATCATTGAAGGATAGCTTAGGTACCTGCAGTCCCCCCATCTTCTCTCTGGCTCCCTGTGTCCTCCCATAGAACTCCTCATCCCTGTGGAGGTCCTCGGGTGCCTCAGAGACACTGCAGCGAGTATCAGGGATCTCCTTCCCCACCGCAAAGGAGCTGAGGGCCTGGGAAGAATGGAAGGAGGAAGCGGAGTTACGGGACCACCGGCGCATTGGGAAGGTACAGAGATTGGGAGAAGGGGAATGGATGTGAAGGAACCTGATGGTGAAGTTGGGAGCAGATTATGAATCCAAGAGATTGAGCATCTCCATCAGTTGTTTCTTCTGGGTCCCAAAGTCCCCACTTTGTCCCTTGAGTGATGTTGCCATTCCTGTACAGGCACAGGAGCTCTTCTTCTTCCATGAACTGAGCCCTGGAAGCTGCTTCTTCCTGCCTCGAGGGACAAGGGTGTATAACGCACTGGTGGCTTTTATCAGGGTAAGGGGGACCCAAATCGAGAGGAAGGAAGACCAGGGAGGAAATCAGGGCCCAGAAGATGCCAAGGGTTAAAAGAGGGGGATTAAACATAAACATTGTGAAGTGCTGGTGACCTTTAACAAGGTCCTAGGAATGTCTGGTTCACAGGGTCGGGGTGTAGAGAGAGAACATGGTACTTAACAGATTGTGGCTGACATCAGCATGACCTGAGGTCTCGGGAGAATCACACGCCTGCCACCCTGCCACCTCTCCCCCAGTCCCTCTGACATTCCATGTCGGTACCCTCCTCTTCAGGCCGAGTACACCCGCCGTGGTTTCTCAGAAGTGAAGAGCCCCACGCTGTTTTCTACGAAACTCTGGGAGCTGTCAGGACACTGGGAACATTATCAGGAAGACATGTTTACCCTACAGCCCCCAGGCTCTGACGGGCCCGCCAGCTCCCCGAGTGACCACTCTACTAGCCATCCCACAGATACACTTGCCCTCAAGCCCATGAACTGCCCTGCGCACTGGTGAGCTAGGAGCCTGGAGTCCTGGGTCCTCCCAGGGCTGGGGGTGGGCAACCAGGTTGCCCAGTATGAAGTAATAGAAAGCACCTTGGCAGAGCCCTGGGACACCTGATTTTAGTCTTGAATCTGCCCTCCAGCTAACCTGTGAATTTGGGGAACCATCTACCTCGCTAAGCCTTAGTCTCCTTGTGTAACATCAAGGATTTGGAGTTGCTGTCCAAAGTTCCTCCTTCACCTCAGAACACAGAATAGGGGTGCAGTACATGCGCTGTTGTTCCTAAGAAATGTACTTTCAGTCAGGTGGGGCCTCAGTGGGAGGGCAGGCTAAGGCTGGACAGGGTGCTAGCTGATGGCACAGAGAAAATAAGCAAGCACATTGGCTAGAGGAGCAGTCTGCAGGGGCTACTTTTCCCTGTGGCCCTGACCTTTCCGTACCCCATCCTCAGCCTGATGTTCGCTCACCGGCCCAGATCCTGGCGAGAGCTGCCCCTGCGACTGGCAGACTTTGGGGCCCTGCACCGGGCCGAGGCCTCTGGCAGTCTGGGGGGACTGACCCGGCTGCGGTGTTTCCAGCAGGATGACGCGCACGTCTTCTGTGCACCGGACCAGGTGGCCCTTCCCCAACTCCGCCAAAGCATTTCTTTTTCTTTCTTCCTTTCTTTTTTTTGTGTGTGTGAGTAAAGCGATAGAAGTTTATTAAGTGAAGATACAGAAAAAGCTCTGGGGGGCGCCTGGGTGGCTCAGTCATTAAGCATCTGCCTTTGGCTCAGGTCATGATCCCAGGGTCCTGGGATCAAGCCCTGCATTGGGCTCCCTGCTCCGTGGGAAGCCAGCTTCTTCCTCTCCCACTCCCCCTGCTTGTGTTCCCTCTCTTGCTGTGTCTCTCTCTGTCAAATAAATAAATCTTTTTAAAAAAAAAGCTCTCAAGAATGAGGGGGTCCCAACAGGTTGCCCCGCCAAAGCATTTCTAAACCACTTTTCATTCTCCATATGAACTGCCAATGTGTCCGATTTCCAGTCTCCCTCTTCATATACTACAACTCAGTTACGTGATAGCCCTAACTGTCCTCTATGTTTCTGCCTTGTGTTTCCCCCCAAACGCCCATCACTCCAGAGCTCTAGGTAGCATACAGCTCACCCACTCTGTTTTCTGCCTCCAGCTTGAAGCAGAGATCCGAGGCTGTCTTGATTTCCTCCGTTCTGTCTATGCCGTCCTTGGCTTCTCGTTCCGCCTGGCACTATCCACCCGACCGTCTGGCTTCCTGGGAGAGCCTTGCCTTTGGGACCAAGCTGAACAGGTAAGTAGGTGAAGAGGTAGATAAACCACTCTCTGATGGGGGAGGGGAGATGGGAATCGGGGTCCTCCTTAGAGGCATATGCTAAGCAGGTCATTAGTTGGGGACTGGAGGGATCTGTTGCTCATAAAGTCTAAGATGACACATTCCTGTCTTGTCTCATCCCCTCTTAAAGGTCCTTCAGCAGGCCCTGGAAGAATTTGGAGAACCCTGGGACCTCAGCCCTGGAGATGGTGCATTCTATGGGCCTAAGGTAAGTTGGGGACCCAGCTAAGAGTTTTATTTATTCATTTTTTGTTTTGTTTTATTAGATATTTAATAAACACAAAGGAATATTTTTAAACTCATGTAGGATATAAAGAGCAGTACATTTCCTGCCCCCATGAAGCTTGTGGTCTTGTGAAGGGTGTGGGAGGTAAACAGGCATTTTGGAGCCACTGAATCCGCACTGTGTAGGTACCAAGGGAGCATGTCACTCAGGAAGGTCAGGAAAGGCTTGTTGCAGGATTCTCTTTCTAACCTGAAAGGTCATTGTTGGCCAAGTACAGAGGAGTTCTAGGTGGGAACAGTACAGGCAGAGGCTGAGGGCAGGGTAAAAACTTGCAGGGCAAGTTGGAAGAAATGGAAGAAGTTGGGACAAAAGGACTGGAAAATGTCTGCTGGGTTCAATGAAAAGGCTGTTAGATTTTTTTTTTTAAGGTTTTATTTATTTATTTGACAGAGAGAGAGACACAGCGAGAGAGGGAACACAAGCAGGGGGAGTGGGAGAGGGAGAAGCAGGCTTCCCGCATAGCAGGGAGCCCGATGCGGGGCTCGATCCCGGGACCCTGGGATCATGACCTGAGCCGAAGGCAGACGCTTAACGACTGAGTCACCCAGGTGCCCTAAGGCTGTTAGATATTGAAGGACCAGGGCACCTGGCTGGCTCAGTCGGTTAAGCGTCTGCCTCTGGCTCAGGTCATGATCCCAGGCTACTGGGATCGAACCCCACATTGGGCTCCCTGCCCAGTGGGGAGCCCGCTTCTCCCTCTGCTGCTCCGCCTGCTTGTGCTCTCTCGCTCACTCTGTCAAATAAATAAAATCTTAAAAAAAAAAAAGATATTGAAGGAACATTTTTGGTAAAGTGGAGGCTGGAGTAAGGAGCCTGGGTAGTCGAGAGATTCTGATGAAGGGAGAAATTTGAGAATGTTTAAATGCTCTGATGAAGGAGAGCCTGTTTGGGTCAGGGAAAAGCTGAAGTTGTAGAAGGGTTTCAGTGGAGGGAATTTCTTGGGTAGTTTTGAGGGGTAGGATTGAGAGCCCACAAGAGACTACCTTTGCCATCGTTCTGGAGGCAGGAAGAAAGATTGGAGGTACGTGCAAGGAAGTCTGTAGATGTGGTGACAGGAAGTTGAGACATTTTTCCATCTTGTGATATCATTATCTGATTTCCCCGTGAGATGGCAGTAGGGCAGAGGAGAGTTGTCAGTGAAAACAGTGAAGATAGGAAGAGGAGAAAGCTTGAAAATCCTTGAGAACAGGACACAAAACTGACTAGGGCAGCAAAGGATTGCTGACAGCAGCAAGGGCGCAGTTAAAGTTCAAAACAGGGACCTGCATGGTGGCATCAGTCCCAACATTTATGCATCTGTGTGGTATGGGACACGTTGGGCAGCTCTGAGTGGTTCTGTTGCAGGGCCAAGGAGGTGGGAAGCCAGAGTGCCACCAGGTTGGGGTTTTGCCATGGGCATGTGACAGGAGAACAACAGTGGAAGGGAACCAGGGAGAGTGGTTCCAGCTGCATGGGGAAGGACGGAAAGGTGGTAGGGGCAGTGAATGGGAAGGAACCTAGAAATTGAAAAGCCATTCGTAGGAATAATTGTCAGAGCCAGAAGACCAAGAGACCGTAATCAGAGCAGGGTGTTGTGATGCACTGTTCCAGAGGTGCAGCCATTCTGGGCAGTGACAAGATGAAGGCTGTAGCCATGCATAAGTACATGTGAAGATCTCTTGAGATGACGAGCTCAAGGGATTCAGAGGCCACGGTGTGGGTGGGTCATTCATTGTCAGTGTTGATGTCTCTTAAAGTTTTACCACTACTGAGCAGAAAGAGCCACTGCTGGAATGCCCAGTGAGTGAAGTAGAGTATTTTACAGCTATGACACGTCTCTCAAAACAGCCTGGGATATGGGTGGGTAGAAGGTGGGTGGTATGTTCAGTAGAGGCTACTGCTTCTGGTTGCTCTTACGCCCTCCCATCTGTCTCCTCCAGATTGATGTGCACCTCCATGATGCCCTGAGTCGGCCCCATCAGTGTGGGACAATCCAGCTTGACTTCCAACTGCCCCTGAGATTTGACCTCCAGTACAAGGGGTACAGAACCTTGCCCCCTCCCCTTTTCCCTTGGCTGCCAGCAGAATAGGTGGAGAGCAACTTCCCCTTCTATCTTTGTCCCTAAAAATGAAACCCAAATCCTCTACACCTTTGCTGGAGCTAAATATTTCTGGAAAACCAGAAGGTGATCTTGGGTGTGCATTTTGTGACACTTCTCTATTCCATCCATCCCCCTCTTCCCCTCCAAGGCAGGCGGGAGTTCCGGAGCGTCCAGTCCTCATTCACCGAGCAGTGCTAGGTTCTGTGGAAAGGATGTTGGGAGTGCTGGCGGAAAGCTGTGGAGGAAAATGGTGAGACCTCTGGCCCCAGATTTCTGTTCTGGTCCTCAGACCAGATAGTGCATGCTCCAGATCCTGGTCTCCTCAGATTCCCTCTTCTATTTTCCTCTCAAATCAACTCTCTGCAGCCACACTATGGTCAGAGCCAGAGTGTTTGTTTGCCTTCCTCTTCTCTCTCCACCAGGCCATTGTGGCTGTCCCCGTTCCAGGTGGTGGTCATCCCTGTGCAAACTGAACAAGAGGAATATGCCAGGGAGGTGAGGAGAAGCTGGGCCGTGTGCACAGGGGTTGAAGCAGGACTACCTGGAGTCCAGGGCTGAGCAGTGGGTAGGAAGGGGTCACACAGCGTAATGGAAGGGAAATAGCACTTGGAGCCACAAGACTGGGCTCAAATGGATGCCAGCCTTTATGCTGGAAATTCCACATCTGAGAAATGAGACTGAATTCCTTGCCTGTGGAGATGCGTGAAAATTAAACAAATTAACAAATGTTAAATGCTGACAACAGAGCACTTGGCACAAAAGGGGCCTGGATAAATGTTGGTTTCATGTTTCCTTTCTAGAGAGAAGTAAGGATATGGATGGTACCAGAGTCAAGTAGCTGGTTGGGTAGCACTGTGGCTAGAGCAGGCAGAGTTGGGGAATTGGTTGCTGGCTGGCTTGGCTCCAGTAGGAAGCGGACAGAAACTATGGGGGGCTGGGGAGGGGCCTCAGTGCAGAGATGAACAAGGAGGGGTTGTCAATGAGAAACAGAGAGCCTTGAAGCAGAGGATGGAGGAACAGATCCAGGGCATGGGGAAGATTGGTATCAGACTATTCTAGCTTCTTAGCCTTCAGTTCCTGGCATCAGACCTCTGCCCCTCTGCCCCAGGTACAGCAGAGGCTGCAGGCTGCAGGGCTGGTCTGTGACCTGGATGCCGACTCAGGCCTGACCCTCAGCCGAAGGGTCCGCCGGGCTCAGCTCTCCCACTACAACTTTCAGTTCGGTAAGTGACCAGCAGGGCAGGCCCTCAGAGCCCTGCACTCTCCACTGACTTCCTGTGCTCTTCTTTCTTATTAAATTTGCTTATCTGTGTATTTGGGTTAATTGGGGTTCATTACCTGATCTGGATTCAGGACACCTGAGCCATTTGGGTCCTAGGTTCTTTCACCCCCTGACAAGCAGTTCTCAACCTCAGAAGAGTTTCCTTTTTTTTTCTTTTTTTCTACTACTAATTTATTCTTTGCATTTGTGCTGAGTCATAGAGAATTACATCACAGGCACAAAAAGCACTTTTTTTTACCAACACCTAGTACAAAATAATATTCTCAACAGAACAAAAAAAGTACAAAATCACAGACAGTTGAGAAAACATTTGATGAGATTTAGGTTATTAAAACATATGGTAGAAAGTGAGCACCTTCAAGACTAGGGGTTTGTGTGTAGCCAGACAGTGTTTGAATTTTACCTGCTGGGACTGTATTTTCAGACATCTCCACTAAAGTGCCCCTTGAGACTGAGGTGGGAGAGTATGAACCACATTGGCTCTGGCGATATTACCCAAGGTTCACAGTATTTTGATGCAAAAATGGCATTTCTTTTTAGACTCAACATTTTATCCTTACAATTTTTATATGTTTTGCCATTCCTAATTATATACATAGTAACTTTAACATTAATTTCTTTATTTTTTAAATTAAAAACATTTTTAATTGATGTATAGTTGACACACAATATTACATTAATTTCAGGTGTACAGCATAGTGACTTGATACTTCTATACATTACGTGGTGCTCATCACAATAAATGTAGCTACCATCTGTCACCATACAATGTTATTACAATATTATTGACTATATTCTCTATGCTGTAATTTTCATCCCTGGGACTTACTTATTTTATAAATGGATGTTTGTACCTCTAATCCCCTTCACCTATTCTGCCCGTGCCCCCACCCTGCTCCCCTGTGGCAACCACCACTTTTTTTGTTCTCTGTGTTTATGAGCTTGTTTCTGGTGTATGTGTGTGTTGTCTGTTCATTTGTTGTTGTTGTTGTTTTTAAGATTTTATTTATTTGAGAGAGAGAGAGCACAAGCAGTGGGGAAGGGTAGAGGGCGAAGCAGCCTCCCCACTGAGCAGGGAGCCCGACGTGGAACTCAATCCCAGGACCCTGGGATCATGACCTGAGCTGAAGGCAGACACTTAACGGACTGAGCCACCGGGGCGCCCTCATTTGTTTTTTAGATTCCACATATAAGGGAAATCTTATGGGGCACCTGTCTTGCTCAGTTGGTAGAACATGTGACTCGTCGATCTCAGGGTTGTGAGTTCAAGCCCCATGTTGTGTGTAAAACTTACTTTAAAAAAAAAAAGTGAAATCATATGGTGTTTGTCTTTCTCTGACTGACTTCACTTAGCACAGTATCCTCTGGGTCCATCTATGTTGTTACACATAACAAAATCTCAACTCTTTTTTTGGCTGAGTAATATTCCGTTGTGTGTGTGTGTGTTTGTACCCCCCACATCTTCATCTGTGTATCTGTTGACGGACACTTGTGTTGCTTCCATATATTGGCTGTTGTTGATAATGTTACAGTAAACATAGGGGTGCATATATTTTTTTTGAATTAGTGTTTTCTTTTGGCTGGGGGTGGGGGGTGGAGGGTAAATACCATGCAGTGGAATTACTAGATCATATGGTATTTCTATTTTTAATTTTTTGAGGAACCTCCATACTGTTTTCCACAGTGGCTGTGCCAGCTTGCCTTTCCACCAACAGTGCACAAGGTTCCTTTTTCTCCCTTTGCCAATCCTTGTTATTTCTTGTCTTGATACTAGCCATTCTGACTGTTGTGAGATGATAATCTCATTGTGGTTTTGATTTGCATTTCTCTGACAATTAGTGTTGTTAAGCATCTTTTTATGTGCCTGGTGGCTATCTGTATGTCATCTTTGGAAAAATGTCTGTTTAGGCCCTTTGCCTAGTTTCAAATATGACTGTTTTTTTGGTGGGTTTTTTTTTTTTTTTTGGTGTTGAGTTGTATGAGTTTTTTTTTTTTTTTTTTTAAAGATTTTATTCCTTTATTTGAGAGAGAGAGAATGAGAGAGAAAGCACATGAGAGGGGGGAGGGTCAGAGGGAGAAGCAGACTCCCCGCCGAGCAGGGAGCCCGATGCGGGACTCGATCCAGGGACTCCAGGATCATGACCTGAGCCGAAGGCAGTCGCTTAACCAACTGAGCCACCCAGGCGCCCAAGTTGTATGAGTTCTTTATATGTTTTGGATATTAACACCTTACCAGATATATCATTTATGAATATCTTCTTCCATTCAGTAGGTTGCCTTTTCATTGTGTTGATAGTTTCCTTCACTATACAAAAGCTTTTTAGTTTGATGTGGTCCCAGTAATTTATTTTTGCTTTTTGTTTCCCTTGCCTAAGAAGACATATCCAGAATAAAGTTGCTAAAGCCACTGTCCAAGATAATAGCACCTATGTTTTCTTTTAGGAGTTTTATGGCTTCAGGAAAACAGTTTTCTTCTGACCCTCATCCAAGCTCTTGGTGTCTATTAGGTTAATTAAGCAAATGAGCTTTAGAGAGAAAGGGACAGGAAGGATTAATAAGGTCCTAATTAGTTAGCTTTGTTTATTCTGGACCCAGATGGAGTTAGCCCTAAGGGGTGATCAGAAAGACCTTAAGAAGAGTCAGGCCACCTTGTTCCTTTTTTCATTTCTCCACTGAGAGCTCTGTCTTGAAGACAAGGAGCAGAAACTCCTCGTCAGATTACTCAGTTCTCTCGTTTTATACACCCACTTGCCAGTGGCATTTAGAGTAAGTTGCCCCATGGGTCTTGTACTCTTGCCACCCTCCCCTCTCTCTGATGTCCACACACACACACACACACACACAGTTTCTCTCTGGGTCTGCTTCTTGGTCTGTTTGTCTCTCTCTGGCTGACCCTACCATCTCCGACCCTTAGGCTCCTGACTGGAAGTGATAAGGCATGGAGAGCATGTCTGGAACGTTCCCTTGTCTCATCAGCATGATGGGGACCGGAGTGCAAGAGGCGGCTAAATATACCCTTTTCCTGAACTGTATCTGGGCTGTGCTCTCACCCTTCCTAAAGACTTAGGTCTCTTGAATTTTTGCATATCCCATGTGGATAAATGTGCCCTAACAGCCCCAAACCTCCCCTCTTCCTGCAGTGGTTGGCCAGAGAGAGCAGAGTAAGAGAACGGTGAACGTTCGGACTCGAGATAACCACCGACTCGGGGAGCGGGACTTGACTGAGGCTGTGCAACGGCTGCTGGAGCTCCAGAACACCAGGGTCCCAGATGCTGAGGAAGTGTTCTGAGCTTTTGTGTACAGATGCGGCAGGAGCCGCCAGCCTCCCTTCATGTGGGAGACCTTGACCTGACTGCCAGAGTCTGGAGGCCCCCAGACCCTTCAGAATTCATGTGGAGGCATGAGTTTGCTCTCCTGGAAAGACATTTGATCCGGGGGAAGCTGTAGCTCTTTGGATGTGAGGAGAGTGAAAGTATAAAGAATAAACTTGAAGCTCTCGGGTATGTGTCTTCATCTTCATCTCTGACTCCTGAGCAGGGGATAAAAGGGAGTTTGACTCTGTCTCCGTCTCTTTTGTCCCGGGGCCCTGGGGAAACAAAGGGGGCAGCCCTGGCCTCTCACTGATAGGGGAGCTCCTGGGGTAGCTGTCCTGTCCCCCATCCTGGACTCTTTATTGCCCTGTTTCCCCAACCCCAATTCAGGAGGCTGTACCTCTCCACGGTAGGCAGCATGAAGACAGAGGAACCGAGGCATAAAATAAGGTGTCAACATCTCTTTTTTTTTTTTAAGATTCTATTTACTTGAGAGAGAGCACGAGCGGGGTGGAGGGGCAGAGGGAGAAGCAGACTCCCTGCTGAGCAGGGAGCCCAACACAGGGCTCTATCCCAAGACCCTGAGATCCTGACCTGAGCCAAAGGCAGATGCTTAACCGACTGAGCCACCCAGGCGCCCCAGGTCGCAACATCTCTTACTCCATGAGTCTCAGAATCCATTTCTCTGGGGATCATAAGAATGCTATCCTCCCCTCAGCCCTGTTCTCTTCAGTCCTCTTAGGAGACTTCAGGGTGAATTTGGGAGGAGTGGCTGCCAGAGGAGGAGCAGCTGGGACTGAGTCATGGCAGGAAATAGGAGGGAGGGAGTTATCTCCAGATAGCTGTATAAAAGGAGAAGGAACGAGCCCTGAGGTTCACAACAGCCGTAACAGCAACTGGAGAAGCAGGCTCCCAGCAGCTCAGCCCTTCAAATCCAGATCTGCCTGAGACGGTCCACCTTCTGGGTGCCACTGACCAGTCTTTGCCCCAGAATGGGGACCATGTCCAGAGCAGCCTTGGTCTTGGCCTGTCTGGCTGTTGCTTCTGTAGCTTCTGAGGGAGGTGAGTTGGGGTTGGAGCCAGCGCTTGGGAAGAGGCCCTGACCAGTGTGGGCCGGGGGCCAGGGTCCAGCCATCCTCTAAATGGCTCATCACCAGCAGGGTGATTGTATCCCTGGCCTTGCATTTCTGAGCAGACTGAAGGTGGGCCTGGGCACTGGAGCCTTTAAACAGGGAGGGGAGCAGGTGGATGGGAGGAGAGGGGTTCCTGGAGATTGCTGTCAGGAGACATAAAATTGGGAGTCAAATGGACAACTCTTCAGTGGGTGGGTGGATTCCCAGAGTGAAGGGGTTCTGCCTCAGGAAGATGTATATATGGGGCCTATCAAGCAGGGGAGAGAGAAAGAATGGGGCCCCCAGGCTGCTCAAAACTGGTTTGTTGACCCAGAGAGCCTTGACTGACTCCTTGTCCGGTTAGGAGAAGAGTTGAGAGGGTGTCCATCCCCAGGGGACCAGACACAGTCACTCTATCTAGCACACACACATCATCTGCTGGATGCTGGACAAAATGCTACCAAGGGATACTGTTGAGATCTGGTCTCTGTAAGGCCTGTCTCCTTGTTCCTCCTAGGCAGATGAGCTATAGGCAGTTCCTTTCCCTGTGGCTGTGGGGCGATTTGCCTCAGGAGTCCTGAATCATCCCAGTCCCCAGGTCCTAAATTGAGACCTAAGCTAAGGAGGGTCTGGGACCAGCTGAAGGGAAGGCACTTTAAGTTCGAGGTGGGCTTCTCATTAGAAGGCCCACAGATGTTTAAACAGCCTAGAGGAGATGAGCAGATGAAGCCCCAACCAGTTCAAAGTCCAGACTTGCTCCTCTGGAAAACTAGAGACGCATAGCAGCTGAGAGGCTGAGAGGAAGAGACCAGAAGCCCTAAGGGAGAGACACTGACAGGAGATGAGGGCCTCCACCACCCCACTCCTCCTACCCTCAGCCCCATATGTCACATTCCCTTCAGGCCTGGACTCAGGAGACCCGAGGCTTTGAGCCTGGTAGAAGTGAGGCTGTCAGAATATCATAGCTTTCTCAGAACCCAGCTGGTCACGTCCAGGTGTGTGTGGGGGAGGGGTGGATTCATCAGGGGACATGGGACAGGAGCAATACAGAAGGGCTTCTGGTGTGTTGGTCGTGTTGCCTATACCCTTGATATCTACTGCCCCCACATCCTGTGCTCAGGGCCAAGAAAGGGCTCCTCAACCCACCCCTGACTCACCTTTCATGTTCCAGGCTTCAAGGCTCCAGGGCAGACGGAGCTGGGGCCAGAGCCCCTCACCTACCACACTCAAGAAGGTAAGAGTTTGGGGGAGCAGCATGGGATGGGGGGGCTAGGAGAAACTGTCAGCTCTGACCATCTGCCCTCTTACCTCTAGTTGGCTATGCAGCACCCCCCTCCCCACCCCGGACCCGAGACCTCCCTGTGGATCACCCTGACGCCCTTCAGCATGGCTCTCACTTTGAGGGACAGAGTGAAGGTAAGTCCACCATGCACCCTCCTCAGCCCTCCAGGTTTCTAGTCTGGCTTACTTCCCGTTCTTTAGATGGGGAGGGGTGAGAAGGCCCTGCCCACTCCTTGCCCTGTCTGGGAGAAGGGGTGGTCTACTCACATACTCCCCCTTCTCTAGTGCAGCCCCCTCCTTCTCGGGAAGCCATCCCTGCCCAAGAGGAGTTGCCCCCTCCCCGACTCCCTGTGAAAAAGAAAGGTGAGTGTTGCCCATTTCTTCACCCCCAGCCCACTACAGTCTTGCTGCCATCAGTCTGATCCTGCTTCTTTGTGCCCTCACTCCTGTCTTGTAGTGGATCCCCCTCTCCCTCAGGAAGCCATCCCCCTCCAAGAAGAGCTGCCCCCTCCCCAGGTCCCTGTTGAACAGAAAGAAAGTAAGTGACTCCCTCTCCTCGTTACCCTCCTCCTGCCTACCCATGGGCTTTGGGGGCTCTGCCGTTCGCTAGCTGTGTAACATTGGGTAAGTTGTCTCTCCAAGCCTTAGTTTCCTCATCTATAAAAATGGGGAAATAAGACCTATTTTTATAAAGTTATGAGATTAAGTGGCATAAAAGTAGCATTTATTTTCACTTGCTTCTATACTGACTTCCTCCTTATAAGTGGCAGCTGGCCAGGTCCCCCCTCTTCTAGCCCATCCCAGCATGGCTTCTGCTTACACATCTCCTATCCCAGTAGACCCACCTTTCCTATATCAGGAGGAAATGACCTTCCCATCTAAGCGGAGAGAGGGTGAGTGACAGCTCTGGTCTGTCCCTCCCTCTGCTTTAGTGCTCAGGACCCTGGGGAGGGAGGCAAGGAGCCTGAGCCTTGGGAAGCAGCACAGGGACCAGGCCTGATTTGTGGGGGCTATAAGGAGACACCTTTCATGCCCCTGTTCTTTTTCCTTTCCGTCGGTCATTCTGAAGGTAAAAGCCACAAGTTCATTTCTATCTCTTTCCCCCCATATCGTGCCAACCCTTTCTCCTCCACTCCAAGTTCTTTCAATCTTCCCAGCTCATCCAGACTTTCTCTGTCCCTCTACTCATTCCCCTTCCCAATCTGTTTTCTCCATTCTAGAAAAGCCAGCTCCTTTCAAGGACCATAGCGCCCCTGAGCCTGAGTCTTGGAATCCAGCCCTGCACTGCCAACAGGGCAGATCCCGAGGGGGCTGGGGCCATTGGCTTGATGGCTTCCCCCCTGGGCGGCCTTCTCCAGACAATTTGGACCAGATCTGCCTTCCTAATCGTCAGCATGTGGTTTATGGTCCTTGGAACCTACCGCAGTCTGGCTTCTCCCACCTTACTCGCCAGGGTGAGACCCTCAATTTGCTGGAGACTGGATATTCCCGCTGCTGCCGCTGTCACAGCCACATAAACCGCTTGGACTGTGCAAAACTCGTGGTAAGGGTTGGGCTCTTGATGCCAGGGGTGTCCCTTAACCTCCAGACAGTATGTGTGTGTTTGAAGGACTTCTAGGCCTGCGTATGTAGGAAACTCAGGACCTTTTTCTTGGCCCTACCTTGGGCCTCCCCAGGGAGGGCAGAGGACAGCCTCTACTTCTTTCTTATCTACCTGCCCAGGGTCCTTTTCTGGAGCCTGGGAGGAAGACAGGAATGTGGACAATGGGCTGCTGGGCTGATCCATCCCTCTTGCTCTAGTGGGAGGACGCAGTGACCCGATTCTGTGAGGCCGAGTTCTCGGTCAAGACCCGACCCCACCGGTGCTGCAAACAGCAGGGGGAGGCTCGATTCTCCTGCTTCCAGGAGGAAGCTCCCCGGCCACACTACCAGCTCCGGGTCTGCCCCAGCCACCAGCCTGGTATATCCTCGGGCCCCGAGCTGCCTTTCCCCCCTGGGGTACCCACACTGGACAATGTCAAGAACATCTGCCACCTAAGACGCTTCCGTTCTGTGCCGCACAACCTCCCAGCTACTGACCCCATCCAAAGACAGCTGCAGACGTTGACCCGGCTAGAGGGGGAGTTCCAGCGCTGCTGCCGGCAGGGGTACAACCACACCTGTACACGGAAGGCCGTAAGTGGGCGTCCGGGTCCCACGAGCCTGTCTGCCTGCCCGCCCATCTCCGACCTCTGACCCTGCTCATCCATTCGTCCATGCACCTCCCCAGTGTGAGCACGTCTGCCCGTTCATCTGCTGCAAGTGTCCGTCCATCCACTGCATTCGTCATTTGAGTCTGTTCATCTTGAGCCTCCATCCTGTACTCCTGGCCTCGTCTACCCATGATCCCACACGTGCACCCATGTGCCGTCCATCCGTGCAGCTCTGGCCTTGTCTGACCCCCTCGTCTGCCATTCCCGCTCATGTCCTGTGGCCGGCTCCGAGCCTCATTTGTGCTTCCATCCTTCCACCTCCCCAGCACCATACATCCACAGCTGCCCATCCTTGTCCTCTGGTTCCTTGCCCTTCCCTTTCAGCACCTGTGGCCGGGTCCCTCATTTCATGGCATAGGGCAGTAAGGGAAGCAGAGGGTCAGAAGAGAGGGGGCCAAGTGTCCAGGTTTCTGACTTCCCTCTCTCTGGCCCACAGTGGGAGGATGCCCTTGATGGTTACTGTGATCGGGAACAGTCTGTCAAGACCCACCACCACTTGTGTTGCCACTACCCTCCTAGCCCTGCCCGCGATGAGTGCTTTGCCCGT